AGAGAAAAACAGAAATGATGTTAACAAAGCCGCTTCGGAATGAGCCTATACCGTTTCGGCAATTTTCGTTTTGGTAAGCCAAGTTTCACAAACCCTTTCACATTTAAGTAATCAGCAACAGAAAAATTGCTATAAGTTATCAGACGCATTTCATTTTCACGCATATCGGATTCAGTTAACTAGATTACTACTTCACATAAGCTAAAATCGAACGTTATTAATTTTCAAACGATTATCGCGCAAAAGCTGTTACACAAAATGAAATATAAATCTAATTAAAATGTACATCATTCATTTCATACGGCATATATTTAGCGAAATGGAAACATACAGAGTAACTCTGCAATGCGGCATCCATACAACAATCAATTTGAAGCATTAACATCTGTTTCTGCATAAACAAACACCAAAGTCAATGAGGCATGTTAAACAGTAAATAATACATTTGTTTAACAAAAACTGACACAAACATACCAAACATCAAGTTACAAAGAATTCCAACGATCAAGTTATTTGAAACGGCAACGTTTTCAATTCGGGGTTTGTCATTTACAAATTTTGGGTAGGACACGACCTCATAAAATTTTTATATCAGCCTCAGCCCATCCAATTATCAAGAGCATAAGATCTGGTAGGCATATGGTAAAGCTAGGAGACAGGTAATGGATACCACCTACCAGTCACAAGACACTACAACCCAGAAATCAGCCATCTTGCAATGGATGCAGAGTTTGAAAGAGGAATCTTTGTGAAACGTCCACTTGAAGGAAGTTGAAATATAAGATTAGAATAGATCTTACACAGGATGACAGGTATACGGAACTACATTAGGATCGTGTCCAATAAAAGCTTTTAGTATTAAAAATGTTATGTTGGTGCTATCATGATTATTCTTTATTATTGTTAGTTATTACTGAAAGTAGCAAACATTCAAATGCGAGCCACGTGTTCTTAGCAAGTCAAAGTATCAGTACGCGAAGAGAAATGGAACTGATTCCGATAGAAAGCGAACCGTATCATTAACAAACTTCCTGTCTGTTCATTGTGTCTAAAGAATGCTACTTCCTTTCTCGTTACGGTGTGGAAATGCGAACAAGTTGCAGAATCACCCACCGTGCACTTTATTACATGTTGATAATTACGGCATCCACCACGGAGCTCAGAGCTGAATAGACAAGGAGCACAACTTATGTTCAAAGACTAAATTATAGAATGAAAAAGTTTATTTAGTAACGTCGAGCTAAGTCACTCGTTTGCTAGTTGTAATTTGCCCGTTATTTCTCAACGAAAGAAATCAAGTTTCACACCCCTACAAAACGAATGTAATGATGATGATGACAACACCGAAAAAATCCTTAATAATAAACCTGGCACTATGACTTGTACAAAAGTGTTGAAAAAATCCCGAGGTAGGGGTCGCAAAAATGTCGGGACTCGGCAAATTTCACAACATCATGTCTCAAATAAAGACAACTTATAACATGATAATGCTGCTGCTGCTGCTGCTGATGATGATGACAATAATAAATTTAATCTTAAATGTTACTATCGTATGAACAACTTCCTTAATACAGCATTTTAAGTTCCAATAATATCGATCCATACGGCATGTAAATTTTCGGGAACACGAGTTCAAACCACGGTTACCAACGTCCCAAATCCATAAAAGAAATATGTTCTAATACGTCTCAAGCATTTGAGTTTACTCATTATTTCAAGCAAATCTAAATAAAAGTATTCTGCTACCTCAACGACAAATATGTATAGATCTGTATGCTACTAATTTATAAACCGTTGACCAACACATTATTGTGGCGTGGACGAACAATTCATTGAAAACGAACAGACGAAACAATAATTTGGATGCATGTAACCACAGAAGCCACTGAACCTGATGAAATGCAACAAACGATGACACGCGTCTGTGTTTATCTCTGTAAAATAATTCAATGATTAAAAGTAGACAACTGATTACGTAAAATATGAATACTATATATATGTCTGGTGATTCAGATACAAAACAGTAAAAACTGTGTTTGATGTTTAGGTTCTTCTCACAACTAAATGGCCCATTATCATCCCAACAACGCACACTGTTATCAATTAGAGTTAATTCAAAATTATGTTTGAATCCAGAAGTTATTAAATATTCAGATTCTAATCTTAAGGGTTGTCAGATCGTGTAGTCCTCTCATTGGTTAGAAACGTTCTATATTAATAATCTGCCTAGAGCTTTAGGGTAGAAACATGACTTATACCCTGAACATAAGCCCAGTAGGTTTCTCCGAATTACACGATATCAAACCCATAAACCCACAATCTGAGCTATCACCGCAGTCTGAATCTCAATATTATATTAAATATTCAATTTCACGAATAAAGATCGATTTTTTTACCGTCTCACAGATCAGACGGCCAGATGTTGGCTTCTGACCGCGCAGACCCGTGTATCTTCAAATGAGACTCGTGGCGGACAAATCAACACTGGTGCATTGGGGCATGTTTCCCCCCGCGTTCATCGGTTTTCCCCTGCTAATCATCATTCTACCAATGCTTCACACTCATCTATCAATGCCTCACGGGGTTCGCGGACCTTCGTTAAGGTGTCATTTTTGACGAGGCATCTGACTGGTTTCCGAATAATGTTACTTTAGATTAGTTCTTAAATGTTCTGTATAATGCATTTTACTAAAGGTCTGTTATCATAAAATTAATCATAGAGATGTAATTTACTGATCGGTTCCTAACAGAAAATAATGTATTTAGTTTCGGATTTAATACAGTACATGCGACTAAATTATCGATGGGATCTTATGAACACAGTCATGAACGAAAACGTCGTGTCCCACAAAATACAGGAAGTATATTGGCCGCCTGAAATATACCACTAATTATTCACAATTAATTACTTTGTGCTCAGGGTTCGTGTGAACTTTCGGTTTTCATAAAAAGCGTGGAATTTCTTAACAGCCGCACGTAGCCTATTTTCCAGTCTTATACCAGTCTACCGTACTGAAATTATAATCCATTATCATGTAGTCAACTAAAATGTTGTGCACGGTAGAAGATTATAATGACGTGGTCTCATAGAACATGACACAGTTATTAGCGTAATTAAAGAGCGAAGAATTCAAACTATACGCAAATTTACAATACAAACCACGTAAAACCAAGTGATCATAACTGTCAAGAAACTAATAAAGAAATTCAGAAAACTGTAATGCTTATACTACATTAATACAAGGTACCAGCTACCACGTAGTGCAGAGTTTAAATAAATATTTATTCACTACTGAGAGCTGAACATCTAAGTAGTCGACTAGCCGAATAACATCACACCACACATTGATTATTATTGATCTAAACATTCAAACAATAAATTCTCTGATGAATATTAAGTTAACAGACGTAATTTTAAGTATTTAAATATAATAATTTTAAATTTCTTTAATAAAATACAAAGTTTGATCACATGATTAAATGCTCTGATACAAAAAAAAATGATTAACAATCGGGCGAAGTGCTTCTGAACAGTCGAGAATTATTCACATATTACGAAACTCCCTAATGTTACAGAACATAAACATCAATCAACTGCCACCAAAGGTGTCATGTTTCTAGGAGAGATCTATTATTACAAAAAAACGTTCAGTGTCCCGCATTTAATGGCGCTAGTGTTGTTATGACGTCTAAATTCTCGCTGCCAACACGATGGAATTAATTAAAGGTACAGTAATGGATCAGCTTTTAAAGGTATGACTTTCACATACATTTGTATTAAGATGTTATTTTAACACGTCTATGCTTCTTTTAATTAAACGCACTTCATCTCGTACAATATTTATATGACACCGAGAATAAACATTGTTTTAAAAAAAGTCAACTTTAACGCTCTAAGATGTCTTCTGGAATGTTGCGGTGTCTGGTCTTGCAACAGCCCACTGACCGACATATTTATTTATAGTTTATTTTAAAGACGCTTTTTCAGTAGCTCAGACTAGAGTGTCGTATGAGAGGACAGTGAATAATGACTTGGGAAGGATGCGAAAGGAAGCGATCGTAAGCTAATTTAAGGTACTATTCCGGCAATTGCCTGGAGGGACTGAGGACAGTCACTAAAAAACCCAGTCCGGACCGAGATCTGAGCCCGGGACCTCCTTAATATGAATCATCCATCATTAGGCCCTGATGAGAACTGAAATTCCAACTGTTAAAAGTTACTAACACCGCTGTATAACTGCTAAAGAAGGCATAGAAAGCGATTATCGGGAGAAATGAGACATCTTCTGAATGGAAGTCAGTCGTGTAATGATTATCAAATCGGATCGGTCTTCTTACAGAGTTTCGGCCGATCCCTTTAAATTTTTGGGGAGGGAGGCAGACACACAAACTCGGTCATGATAATGCCAAGCCGTTTTAATCTTAGATAAATAGTAGACTAAAAACAAATTTTAGGATGAGACGTAGGCCTATAAAACAAGCATTATAGGTTTCGTCGCCACATACAAAAATTCTAACTGGGAAAATATGGTGGTCACAACAGCTGACATACTAACTAGCATACTAATTCCACTCCTCTGAATTTAGTGCTAGTTTTACCTTCTTCTGGGCATGTTTTATAGTATGTCTGTCCAAACGGAAATAGGGATGGAAGAACAAACATCCGTTTGGGAGGTATACAGAATTACAGTGTTCCGGTAAATGGTCGCCAGTCAGGGTTTATGTAAATAAATGAAGCGACATCATTGATAACACGTAAAAGCTCTCCATCAAATACCACTGCTAGCTACTGGGCACATGCATTTTTAAAACTCAATTACGTAATACTAGTAATTTATCCGTCAAGAATGATGTGAAAACCTAAGTAGTAAACACGCGTAGTCATAAATATTACTCCGTAAAGCCTGAAATCCGTTAACAGCATTACCATGGCAACGGCTATAACACGCATATTTATAAATATCCGATAAGGCCAAAAATCCCTTAACAACAAATGATCACCAATCGACAGTCACTCATTACACAGAGAATCAGATTTGTTGCGTTGTGGAGTTATATTCTGTTTGGACCTAGACAACTGTCAGTAAACAGACTTTATTTTAAGCTGGATTAAAGAAGTTTGATTCCCATGAAGTGCAAGAATATTTCACTCAGCCATTGTGGGGCTCAATTAGCCTTCAACCCAACCTACAGAGATCATCAAGCACTGGTAAGCTTTACATTTCCGTTCTCTTTTGTTATTGTGATTTATGTAACAAGTTGCGGTCTTTGACAAAACGTCTTTGCCCAATAACCAAACGTAAATAGAAATCCATTGTTCTGTTTGGGTCATCCATAATGCATGAATTCCATCGACTCCGGTGATCACACGATATTGAGAAGAAATATTATAACCGCCATACAGGACTTTCAGTTTCGTGCCGATTTGGGACAAGTGTATTCCTTGCGTCTTATAGAAATCGAAGATTCATTAACATTTACAAAAGCCTGCCAATTCTTGTGAATATTTTTACAATAGACATAAAACTAAAATCCAAAGTTAAAGTCAAGATAAGGAAAGAAAAGTACACAAGTTAAATTCCTTATTTTTATTTACACTTTAGACGTGAAAAATTAATAAGTACTTTAACCAATTCTAAACACATCCCATCGTCGTCTTTGAAAATTCAACCGTGGCGGACAGGGAAACGTACTTCTGGAACCGCTGATCACGGTATCACATGAAAACAAAGAATAATGACCATACCTACAGCGGGATTCGAATCAGCGATAGCAGAGTTTCGCCTAGGCGATCACGGAATATGACGTCAGATTTATAAAATGAATGAAATGACGCATGAAAAACAACCAGAGTGGACAAACTGTATCTCCGCGCTCCGTATTATTAAGAATCAGCACATAGCTAAGCTATATTAAGATCTGATGTCACGCTAATGAGATAGTTAGTGTCTGTTGAGACAGAACAATGGGCAGAACATTATTCAAATGTTATGCCATAATTATCCTGGCCGAATTCAGCGCTGTGCAGTGATAAACGGCCTACTGCACTGCGCTCAATCATGCACAAATAACAGGTGAGCAATTCTGCATATTGGTAGTGCAACAATGACCCACATCCTTCCTCGTAAATTGAAAGATCGATTGTCAGTGGATAACCACACGCT